AGTTCAGGCCCCACGACTGGACCCAAAATAAATAAATAAATAAATTTTTTATATGATTGTATAGTTTTTTTTTTGGGGGGGGGGTGCTCTTGTTCTATGGTTTTGTTATTATTATTCTATTAAGTTATTTATCTCTGAAGTATTGCTAACCATTAAAAAAAATCTTAATTTTATGGGTAAAATCGTGGAAACATGTAATTTTTTTCAAGAAATGTTGTTATGAATTTCTTATGATTTAGAAAAGAAATTCTACTATTGGTATGCTTTTGTAACCTATTGATGGTAGCTCTCACCTATTTCATTTTGGGATGACATGAAATATTTACATGTAGAAGCTAGACACAGACAAATTTTTGAAAATTATGATTGAAATTCTCATTTACCAAAAATCCAAAATTCCTTGCAGTAATTTATGCCTTTAAAATATTAGGAGATATATGAGAAAAGAAAAATAAGACTTTCTTTGCACCATTATAATCTAATTAATGTGATAAATAATCCCTCAATGATTAGAGAAAAATGACACATTAAGATAATGGATTGCTCCAGTTAATAATTAATACTTTACAATATGACCTAGCCAAGTTCATAAGCTCCTTTGCCTTGATAATCTTGCCAGATGTCCTCAATTTCTCTCAAATGTTATTTTATATTATTTTTGCCTCATCTAATGATTGCCAGTTAACTACAGATACTAAACTATGTTTCCCTCATCTGAGAATCTTAGTTTAAAGGCAGCTAAAATCTGTGAGATTCTTATCTCCAAATAATGAGCAAAAAGTTGTAAGTGGAATGTTCAAGTGGTAGAGCTCCAGCCCTGTGTGGAAAATGCAAAATAAAAGAGCAAGGCCCTAGTCCCTGCTTAAAAACAAAACAAACTAACACTTGAAAAAAAAATCACTCCCATTCAGTTTATTCTGTGGTCTCTTAAATTCTATCTTTTCAACTTGTTTATATAAAACTGAGGGTTTATCCTGCCAGAGGAGATGTTAGGCTCTGTAATGAATATGATTTGTTTGTTTGTTTGTTTACCATTGCCAATTTCTTCGAAGAGCACTGGATTAAAGTTTTAACAGGTGTGTTGTTTTTGAGGGGGGGGGGGAATTGGAGGGGGTAATGATTGTTTGCTATTGGCCAATAAGTTCTATTTAATGTTTTACCCCTCTCAGGGCAAGTGATCAGGTGTGTCTTCAGTGACAAGAAATGCTCAACATTCCATACATTTTTCTTAATATAAACAATGAGCACTAACATAGAGTTTGATGACATTGACAGGCTCTGGTGGCTCATGCCTGTAATCCTAGCTACTCAGGAGGCTGAGATCTGAGAACTGAGGTTCAAAGCCAGCGTGGACAGGAAAGTCCATGAAACTCTTATCTCCAATAAACCACCAGAAATCCAGACGTGGTGCTGTGGTTCAAGTGGTAGAGCACTTGCCTTGAGCTGAAGAGCTGAGAGCCCAGGCCCAGAGTTCAAGCCCCACAACTGACAAAAAAAAAAGTCAATTAAAATCTTAAGATCGCTAAATTATAGCATTGAGAATTGCTAAGGAATCAAATAGGAAAAAATACACCACTTTGAAAAACAACAATGAAACTGAAATAGAAAAAAAAAAAAATCTGGCTTTAGGAGTCAATCTGAGCTCTCTGAGGCCAATGTGGGCTACATAAAGAAAGCCTGTTTCAAAAATAACCTCCTTGGAAGTGGTGCTGTGGCTCAAGTGGTAGAGCGTTCTCCTTGAGCTGAAGAGCTGAGGGACAGTGCCAGGGCCCAGAGTTCAAGCCCCATGACGGACAAAAAAAAAAAAAAAGAGTCTCACAGACTCTTGTGGAGGGGAAGGGAAAAATAAATCGTTTAAATAGGGATACAGGTGGACCCATTGCAACAATGAGATGTACAAGTCCTATGTCGAAAACGAACTTTACCACTTTGGTGGGTGGGGCGGGAGAGGAGGAAGCAGGGAGGATTGGGGGGGGGGGACGGGGGGAGAATGGGAAGGGATGGGAAGGGGAAACAAAGGAGGAGGCTACAATGCTTGATAAGAAATGTACTTATTATCTTGCTTATGTAATTGTGACCCCTTTGTACAGTATTTTCACAATAAAAAATAAATTAAAAAAAAAAAACTTCTTGTGCCTAAGTTTCATCCTTTCTATCTTTGATCTTGATTGCTTTCTGCAAATTATCTTTATTAGGTAACATCAGGATAGTATCCCAAGCTAATTTTACAGTTCCTGAAGTAGTATTTTCCTAAGTGTGGACACTAGCACTTAATTTCCTCATTGCGGCCTTGAGCTAGAGGAAGTGTGTGAGAGAAAGTGCAGGGAAAGACCTGGAGTCATTGTCCTAAATGTTTGACATCTTCTTCAGTGTTAGCCCACAATCACCATCTGTGTCACAGAGAAACCAGAGTTCCAGGGAATGGGCTGCTGAGCATGAGCTCCTGGCTTACTGAGCCCTAACTCTGCACGTCAGAGCGGCATAATACAAACATGAAATTACCCACCACAGCACCCTAATCTCTAAATTGAATCCTGCAGACTTGTTTCCTATTAAAGGTGACGCTTCTTTGCCTTGTCTGCATTTCCAGGGGCACACTATGTCATTTAGCTATGTATTTAATTTAAGCTAACTGCTATCAAAGAAACAAAATGATAATATAGAATGCTCATGTTTTTAGACTAGCTGGTTGTCTTACAACCCAAATTCCACTAAGTGTTAGACATTTTCCTTTGAGCCTTCAAGGGTAAGGTTCAGTAAGTGAAAACGAAGTGTTCTATTCACGTTTTCGAGACAAGCTTATGAGGCACTGTAAGTACTTTTTTCTAACCTACCATGAAACACAATTTATATATTCAAATATGAGGCTTCCCTCTCCAAAGTCTTGGGAAGTTGATCCTTCGAGCTGATGTTTCATGAGAAATACCTACTTACTATCTAGAATCTAGCCGAACTTTTCTGATTAATGCAAAACCATTAAAAAAAAATTTGTTGGTCGTGGGGCTTGAACTTGGCCTGGGTGCTGTCCCTCAGCTCTTCAGCTCAAAGCTAGCACTCTACCACTTCAGCCACAGCACCACTTCTGGTTTTCTGAGTGGTTTATTGGAGATGAGAGTCTCACGGACTTTTCCTGCCTGGAGGCTGGCTTTGTACTGTGATCCCCAGATCTCAGCCTCCCAGGTAGCTAGGATTATAGGCTTGAGCTACTGGTGCCTGGCTGCAAAAGCATTTTTGGAGAAAAGACAACTTCTGGGTTCATTTTCACTGTTTATTAGGCAGGAAATTTGTTACATAATAGCCACTATAAACAATAACGTGTATTTCCATGTGTGGTTTGTTTGGGGATGGGAGGAGGCAGAACTAGGGTTTGAACTCAGTACTTTGCTCTTACTAGGAAAAGCTCCATATGAGCTAACATCCCAGTCTTCTGTGTGCCTTTGAAAAAGGAATTTCAAGCAGGGTGCTGGTGGTTCTCACCTGTAATCCTAGCTCCTCAGGAGGCTGAGATCTGAGCATCACGGTTCAAAGCCAGTCCAGGCAAGAAAATCTGTGAAACTCTTCATCTCCAGTAAACCACCAGAAAACCAGAAGTGGCACTGTGGCTCAAGTAGTAGAGCGCTAGCCTTGAGCTGAAGAGCTGAGGGACAGCTCCCAGGCCCAGAGTTCAAGCCCTACGACCAACAAAAAAAAAAACAAAAACAAAAACAAAAAAACAAAGAAAGAAAAAAGGAATTTCAAAGTGGCTCTTGGATTGAATAAATTCCACACATGCACAAAGCAATTTCTCCTGGATTTACCTACAACTGGAAAAAAGAGCGTAACTAAATAACATGAAAAAATTTCTTTTGTAATTCATTTGTGATTGTCCCATTACTAGAATGGCAAAAATAGAAAAAGCCAATTCCACCCACTTTAATGAACTCCACCTATATTTCATACTTTTAAACACTGAAAAACAAAATTTGAAAGCGAACTTCTTGACATTCACTTCTCTAAGGTATTTACCATCCATTTTCAGGACAGTATTCTTGGGCATTCAAATTAGACCCTACTGTGGACTGGAAGATTTGCAGATTAAAAGCTTTTTTTTTTTTTTTTTTTTAATTTCCTGTTTGCTATACCTTTGCTTTCATTAGATGCAATGGATCAGGAAACACTTGTCCAGTGAATGATTCCATGGAAGGCAAAGGCAAATAGTCCTCTAACTTAACAAATATTAAAAAAAATCAAACGGAGGAAGGTTACTAAACTATCCCTTCTGCCAACTGCTATTCAGCAGTATTCAAAATGAGTTCTGAGAGTACCTTACTCTCCTCACTCTTAACTGAAATCATTTAAAAAAAATATAAATGAATGACACTGCTTCTCAATTATGTTCCACCATTACTTTGATCTGTGAACAAAGACCTCACCTGAACTCACCTTCAACAGACATTTCATATCTGACATATATCCTTACACTAGAAAATGCTGAAGCCAGGCGCTCACACCTGTAATACCAGTTGCTGAGAAGACTGAGATCTGAGGGCTGCAGTTCAAAGCCAGACCAAGGAAGGAAAGTCAATGAGTCTTCAATTAACCACCAAAAAGCTGAGAGTGGAATTGTGGCTCAGGTGGTAAAGCGTCACCCTTCAACAAAAAAGCTGAGGGACAGCACCTAGGACCTGAGTTTAAGCCTTAGGACTGGTACATAAGAAAGGAAAATGCTTGGGCTGGGAAGGTGGCTCAGAGGTAGAGTGCTTGCCTCCTGTGCATGAGGCCCTGGGTTCCATTCCTCAGCACCACATAACCAGAAAGAGCCAGAAGTGGTGCTGTGGCTCAAGTAGAGTGCTAGCCTTGAGCTGAAGAGCTGAGGGACAGTGCCCAGGCCCAGAGTTCAGGCTGACAAAAAAAAAAAAAAAGCAAAGAAAATGCTTACCTTTAAGACTTAAAAATTACTTTTTTCTCTAAAGGTTGAACCTTGGTAAGATTTGTAAAAAATCCTATTTTAGCAAGCTTGATTATATCAACTGGTAAAACTTTATTTTACAAGCAAGAAGAATGGGACCAAATGATTATGATAATTCAGAGGAAGTATTTTATAACCACAGCAAATGCCATTATACATACTGCCAATACAGATTTCATAAGACAATACTGAACTGTACAAGAGTTATTTATTTTTCCTTAATCTCAAAGCTATTTTTAGTAGTACAAAAAAGCCATATTAACATTTTTTCCATTAGAAAACAACATGATGTACAAAACTTTGGATGAAAAGATATGTCAAATTTCATTTAATTACTTGGAGAAAAAGCCACCACTTCATCAGTATCACCCCCAGTGTTCTAGGCAGTGATTAAATTCAAAATAACGCATCTCCATAAAATCCCAGCTGTTAAAAAGAACAAACCTAACAATATATCATCATTTTCTACACAGTATTTTTGACCACTCACTTTGGGAGTTACTTTTTTTTTTTTTAAATCCATTTCTTTTACCGAGTTCTACCTACTATATTATATACCAGGCACCGTACTTGGCCAACTAGGTATTTAAGAAAAAGTTGGTTAAGGTGGGCAAGACCCACAAATCAGTCCTTTGGTTACCAGATTTGCTTTCAAACATCAAGAAACCCAAGATGGAGAACACACCCTTCCAAATGTTATTCAATTTTATTAGTGGCAAGGGTGTTTAGGAAAGAGAGACCACGGAACATTATTTTCTTATCCATTATTTCAACAACAACAAATAAAATCAGGAAAGCTAGTTTGTTATTTTTTCTAATGACTGTCAGTTGTGGCATTCAGGTGCTACAAATGTAGTTCACTGACTCAACATGAAACCTCTGCTGCTCCGAAAACAGCAAGGAGGATTGCACGGACAGCTTTCCACTTCATTAGTCAATGGTATTTGATACAGACCTTAAATGCAATCAGTTTAGGGTCCAGTGATGGGGGGCGGGGGGGGGGGGGGAGTCCAGTTATGGAGTAGAAAAGAGCAGAGAAGATAAACTAGTAAAGATGATTAACATATAAGGAAGTATTATTCTATCTATGAACGAAAATGCTAATACATTTTCATTTTAAAAAGAAAAAGGTTGCAACTATACTAATGGCCCATAAACTGACAGTACTGTCCATTCAACACCATTACTTTGTTATGTATATAAAAACCTGTTTTCTTAAGGTCTTACACATCATCAAAGCACTAATTTGGAAATTAGCCATGTTCTAAGCATTGACAATAGCAGGTAACACACCATTCATCTCTGGAACGCATTAGGCCACTATTCATGGCCCACATGTAGTTTGGATTCCAGACTCTCAGTCATATAAAACTTTCAGGTTCTGGGATAGCATGACAAGAAAACGATTTCATGAAAAAGTCTCATAAGACGTTTAAATAAGTCTTAGGGTCACAGCACTTCTGACCTAAATGAATCTGACATGCTACATAACTACAGTAAAAATCATTATGTTCAATTTTAAGTGAAAACTAGAAGCAGATAAAACGGTAACAGACTTGACATAGTATGTTCTAAGACCTTCCTACAAATGTATTTCTGACACTGAAGATTTTAGACTTCGAAACTTGAAAACATCAGATTCAGAATCACAACCAAATTTATTTTTGATGGCATGCAAGATCTTCCTAAAAAAATGTTTAAAAAGACCTCGAAGTCTCAGTATCAGCAGAACATAAAGAAACACAACAAATTTGTACATTTTATTCACATTTATTTTTCGCTTTTAGTGTGCTCACAGAAAATTAGAACACCTTAAGCAGGAGTTTAATAGCAATTTTTGTAAGCAAAGTTACATTCCATCTCTAAGTCAAATTGGTCAAAGCTTCTCCAGTATTTACAAAACATGATAAGACAAGATGCTACACAAAACCATTGCATCTGAAGATTTTTTTTTTCCTCCTTTATTCTCAAAGACAACTGGAAAAGAAAGCATTGTCTGCTGTAATCAAAAACATACCACAGTATAAACAGTAACCATTCCACTTATCACAGCTTGGTTGAGTTTAAAATTTGTGTGTGTGTGTGTGTGTGTGTGTGTGTGTGTGTGTGTGTGTGTATGTGTGTGTTTTAAAAGGTCCAAGATGACTGCAGTTTTACAAAAATGGGCAGGGTGGAAAGTTGAAAACTTCATGTGCTTCTGGATATCGAGATTTTTTCTTTTTATACAATAGTCACAGTTAAAAACACCCTGCTGGTAATACATAATTACACTTTATTAAGGTCATAAACCAGTAATAAACAATAAAGCCTATACAACTTGTAGTTCTACTTTTATCACTGACTGGTACAGCTAACAGGAGATAAGTGAAAAGTTCCTATGGTTTAAATGACCTCCTAAGACTATGATCTTTTTTTTTTTTTGTTTTTAAATCTGGGTATTGGTAGTTTTTTTTTCTTCTTCTTCCTTTCCTTCTTAGTCAAGACTTGTAGTGTTGTAAACCTGCCTCACAAAATACATCGTAATAACTTTTTTTTCTTTAAAAAAACAAAACAAAACAAAAAGACAGCCTTTACACCTTACACCATCAATTCCAGTGACACAGCTCCCTGGCCTAGGCCGCGTGCCACCGCCTCCCCCATGGGGGCTGGTCCATCACTTAATTTGATATCCCTTTTTGACCCACCCATCTCCTTCATATATGGGCATGTCCATAGATTGACAAAGAAAGTTTACATTTTTTGAATAAAGATGCAAAGTATGCAAAAAACATTAATACTGATGCAAAAAAAATCAAAGAGAAGAGAGGAGGCGGAGGAGGAGGTTTTAAATTCTCCTCCACCTGTTGGAATGGTGTGAACAGAAGGATCTGAGATGGGATCTGTGGGGAGGGGGGGTGGGGAACCAAAAACAAAAACAAAAACACAATTTGCTGCTTTAAAAAAAAAAAAAGAAAGAAAAGAAAAAAGACAGCTATAAAAATCAATCCCTGGTTGTAGACGAGTTCTCCAAAACCAGTACCTGGCACCACTCCAACAAACCAACGGGGGTGGGGGAGAAGGGGGTGGGGGAGAAAAGTTCTCGGGTGATCTCCACGACTAGCCCTCTACTCGGCCGCCTCCGCCGGAGGGGCCTCCGGACTGCACTCGGGCTGCGCCTCCGGCGAGGCGGCGGCGGCGACTGCGGCTGCGCAGGACGACGCGGGGGCTGCGGCCTCCTCGCCGGGCGCCGCCTCCTGCTCGGCCGGGGGCGCGGTGGGCGCCTCGGCCTCCTCCGCCGGCTTCTCCTCGGCCTTGGGGGGCTCCTCGGCCTTGGGGGGCTCCTCGACTGCCGACGGCTTCTCGGGTGCGACAGCGGCCTCCTCGGGCTTGGCCTCCTGCGGGTCTCCGCCCGCCGCGGCCTCGTCGCCCGCCGCGGCCTCGTCGCCCGGCGCCGCCGCCGGCTCCCCCGGGGCGGCGCTCGCTTCCCCCGCGGCCGCCGCCGCGGCGCCCCCGGCGGCCTCGTCCTTGCCGCCGTCGGCGCCCTCGGCCTCGGCGCCCTCGGCCGCCTCCTTCTTGCTCTTCTTGAAGGAGAAGCCGCTCAGCTTGAAGGACTTCTTAAAGGAGAAGCGCTTCTTTTTTTTTTTCGGGGTCTCGCTGCTGGGCGAGGGCGTGGCGCCGTCCTCGGCCTTGGGCGAGGAGGTGGAGGAGGCGGCCGACGCGGCCTCGCCCTCGGCGGCCGTGGGCGACCCGGGCTCGGCGGCCTCGCCCTCGGCGGCGGCCTCCTTGTCGCCGCTGCCGGCGCCGGGCTCGGGGCCGGCGGCGGCCGCCTCGTCCTTCTCGGGCCCGGCGGAGGGCGACGCCGCCCCGCTGCCCGCGGCCGCGGGCTCCTCCTTGTCGGCGGCCGGGGCGCTGCCGTTGGCCTGCACCTCCTCCTTGGCGCCCGGCTCGGCGGCCGCGGGCGACGCGTCCCCGTTCACTTTCACGTGGCCGTTCTCCTGCGGGGCAGAAAGAGCGGGAGCGTCACGTTAGCGGCCGCGCCCCGCCGTCCCCCGCCCCCCGGCCCCGGAGCGGGGCGGCTGGCTGGGCCTGCCTGGATCCCGGGGTCCCCGGTCCCGCAGACTTGGGGAGGCGAGTGGCGCGCCCCAGCCAGACACCGCCGCAGGGGAGCGGCTTTGCTGGGCAGAGGGCCTGTGTGTGTGTGTGTTGGGGGTGGCCTCGATCCTCAGCAAGTCCCCTCTAGGGTCCTAGGCCGCACTGTGCCTGGGGGTGTCCATTGCAACTTAGCCTCGCGGGGTGCGGAGAGGCGGGAACCGTGCACCGCGCATTGGATCCAGCGGACGCCGCCAGCAGGACGAGCCACGCGCTCAGCCTGGGGCGGCGGTCTGCACCCCGATTGCATTCCCACCCCGCCCCCCTTCCCGAATCCCCGTCGTCCTGGGGTTGGGGGCGGGGGAGGAGGCCGAACCCGGTGGGGAATCACAGCCCGGGAAGCCCGGCGGCCAGGCGAGATCCCAGGCCCTGCGCGCGCCCGCGGCCTAGGGACCGGCAGGGGGCGCTGCGCCTCCACGGCGCGGAGCGGGGCGCGGGCGGGCGGGCGGGCGTGCAGGGAGGGGCGGGGCCGCGCAGCCACCCCGCCCTGCCCAGCCCGGCCCTGCCCGCAGGCCGAGGCGCCCCCGAGCCCGGATCGCGCTGCCCTACCGTCCGCAAACAAAGCTCAGGTGGCTCGCCAGGCCTCTCGAGCCGCCTAAAGCCAACCAGGCTGGGCGGGGAGGGGGACCCCCATTATCCCCGAGGTCTCGCCTCTCCTTCCACGCCCACCTTCGCCAGTCATTCTGCACAGCTAGGGCGCGCCCGGGCAGCCCGTTTTGCATTTTTAACGGGTTTAATAAGCCTCTTGGCAGAGTCCGTCTGGTCCCCAGTTGAGGTGAGAGCAGTCGAAGTAGCGCGGCCTCAGCTCGAGGAAAAGAGGCGTGGTGGGTCTGCCCGGTGTTGGTGAAGCCAGCCACCCAGGGCCGACCTCCTGCGCCCACCCAGCCGCGGTTCCCCGCCCGCGTCCCGGCTGCGCTGGGGGGGGGGGGGCCGGCCTCTCCCTCCCCGGGTGGCCGGGGCGCCACGCACACGGACGATCGCGACCGAAACGCCAAAATCTGGCCCTCCGCGACCCTCTGGAGAGCTCCTTTAAACACCCACCGAGTGTACCCACCACTCCGGGGACACCACGGAGAAGCCAAAGGGGTGTGTGATGCCACCGGCCGCAACAGAAAGGAGAAGAGATGTAGGGCAGCGGGAAAGCCCCATCCAAAGGCTCCGCGAGCCTTCCCAGCAGTCCAGCTCCAGCCAGCCGCCTTTCCAAGAACCCGGGGCCAGCACGCCCCGTCTTCCACCGCCATCCCCATTTGCTCCCCCTTACACACACACACACGCGCGCGCACGCACACACACACACACACACACACACACCAGTACAGACATCTCGAAGGCGACCCAGTATCGACAACAAAACCCAAAGCCACCCAAACACCACTGTGGCCCCGAACACCAATGCAACCTGGCTGGGGGTGGGGGTGGGGGGCCCCTCAGCCAGTCACGTTCTACCAATCTCCAAATCACGCCATTTTAGACCAGTTATCACTTTTCCTCCCTTCTACCCCAGAATTGGCCGGGGTCTTCCGGACCCACTCCTTTGGGGTGGGGGGGGGGGTGGGGAGACCCTTTCTGTGAAAAATGGGCCATTTTAGGCTAGCCTTTTCCATCCAACTTTCAGACTAAGAGCCCGGCCACTGCTCCCCTCCACCGAGAGCGTCTCAGGGCGCGACCCAAGAGGGGAGAGAGGGAAGCGTCGAGACTCCGAGAAAAGACACCCCAGAGAAGGAGCGAGACCACAGGTAGCATTTACCTGTCCGTTTGCTTTGGAAGGCGACGAGGCCACAGCCGCCTCGCCGGGCCTCTCCGCGGCGGCGTCTCCCTTCGCGGCGGTCTTGGAGAACTGGGCACCCATGCTGGCTTCTTCAACAAAGAAACTCAACCGATCCAAGACGGGAAACAAAGAGCCTGGGGTTGGTGTAACGACGGGGCGAGCGCGGCGGCGGCGGCGGCGGCGGCGGCGGCGGCGGCAGCGGCAGCGGCGGCGGCACACTCACCGGAGGGAGGGGGTGGGGTGGTGCGGACAGAATAGAACCGATTAAATACACTCCGGGTTTCAAAAAAAAAACCTTAAGCCGAAGAGATCAAAAGGCAGCAGCAGCAGCAGCAGGAGGAAGGGGAAAGATGGAAAAGCAGAGCACAAAAAAGAAGCCCAAGTGGAGTTTTTTTTTCTTAAGAAAAAAAAAAAAACAAGTAATAAAAAAAATCCCAGATTTGTAGCCGCACTGTAGACAAGAGGAAAATGGAGAAATCTCCCTGGTTGCTAATAAGATGCGGGGTCCAACGCCCAAGTGCACAGATGAATGGGCTCGCGGGCGCTGACGCGGCCCCCGCGCGCGCCGGCCAATCGGCGCGCCGCACACAAAGCAGGGGGCGGAGCCTGCGCGCCCGGCGAACAATGGAGCCGCGCTTTGCAAACGGTTTGAAAAAGCAGCCTCGGAACGAGCATTCACGTCCTCCAAATAAATAAATCAATTAAAAAATACATGCCTCTCGCCTCCCCCTGCCCGAAAATAATCACGCATCCCTTGATTGGCTTGCTTTGTTTGGAATTAATTAACACGGGAGTGGGGTGGGGGTACTTGTGGATGGGGGCGGAGAAAGCGTTAACTTGACTCGCTCGGACTCCAGTCGGTCGGTACCCGTGTCTGTCTCTCCACTCGCTCCCCGCCCCCATCTTTCCCTAGTGTTTATGTGTGTGTGTGTGTGTGTGTGTGTGTGCAAGTGTTAAAGACAATGGGCAGGATCTGGGTGTTTGCAACATGTTTTTCTCTCTGCCTTTTCCGTGTGCGTTTCACCGACAGCGTTCAGGGTCCTGTGGTTTCTATTTATTTATTTTTAACTGCTGCAATTGTTACAGCGTCCCATACAGAAAGGTATTGAAACCACGAAGATCGAATTTCATCAAACGGGATCGCGAGTTGGAAGTAGGTCTGTAGGCCAGATGTGGAAAATGCAAAAGCAGCAAACAGCCGACGCCACACTCTGCCCCCCACCCCCCGCCCCTTGCCATGAAATAAAGTATTTTGAGATTGGCCTTCCGAGCTCATCAAAATCGGTCTCTCATGGCCGTTTCCCAAGGAGTGATTACTTTCTCACAATGTAGAGAGTGAAGAGCTATTTGCAGGAGATCGAAACTGCTCGCGTGCTCATCGCAGCCCGGAATGACATGATTTTCCCCGGCGGTGGGATGAGACATAGCCCCGAGTGGACGAATCCATAGTTACAGCTGGGAGGCGGCTTATTCTCGTCGAGGAGGCTCGCTCTCAGCCCAGTGCCAACGTCGAGGGAGCTCTCATTCGGAACGCGAGTGTGTGTGCGTGTGTGCGTGCGTGTGTCAGAACGTGTCTCCAGGAGGGAAGAGGAAGGCAGGCAGCAGCGATGAAATTCTAAACAACAGTTCTAAGAAGAAACTGCCTGCACGTCAGGAGACGAACAGCAAGAAGATCCCTAGACCTTCAAGCCTGACTTGGTTAGAGGCCAAGCCTGCACAGTCCTGTGTGTGTACAGGTCACAGTTTGGCTAGCGGAGGACCAGACGCTCCTGGTTTGAGGGAGACAAGGCTTCCATTTACGTATCTGAGGGGTGGGATCAAGGACATAGCCTAAGAAGCATCCCTTTACCACCCGCATGTTTTGCTCATGAAAAAAGAAAGAAAAAAACACCCCACCAACGAAGCCATCTCTTCTGGTTTACGTTTAGTGATCCTGCCTTGTGAATGATCTTTCTCTTAGGGAGCTGGGAAGCAGTCCGGGGCAGGGCTCATTTCTCTGAGTGCTGGTTCTGAATTCTCAGTTTTATTTTCTGCTCATTGTAGGGAAATAGGTCATACTCCGAACGAAAAAAAAGGCAGTTGTGGGTTCAAGCCAAATAGCTCTTTGTTCAAGGGCTGCTCTGGGATGGGGAGGGAGGGGGGAGGAATCACCAAGCCGAACCTCCTTAGGTGAGGCTCTCTTCCCCCTGTCCGGTTCCACGCGATGCACTACTCAGGCACGAAGTCGTATTCCACAGAACAGATGTAAGGACGTATCCGTAGAAAGACACCAAGCCAACTGGCAAGGATGCCCGGTCAGGAGCCTACGAGCTGGGCCCGAGACCCCGGCCCGCCAGGATGGACGCGAATCCCTGTTTGAGCCGAGTTCCACCTTGAAAAGCCCACTGGGCTGATCCAAACCCCAGCACCAGCCAGGAGAATCCCGAAGCTCGCGGGAGGCAGATGCTGCCCCCGCCCCCACGAGGCTGCTCTCCGCGTCCCCCTCCTGTTTTAACTTGGGGTGTTTGCTAGCTCGTTTTCAGATTTTTTTTTCCCTCCTCCCAGACGCGTCTTTAGCTCCCATTTGGGTGCTGCTTTTACTGCTCCTTTGTTACCAGGCTGCCGAGTAGCTTTCCCCCCCTTTTTCTTTCTCCAAAGCCTATTTGCCTGGTATCGGCTCGTCTCCCTGGCAACCGCAGGGGAAGATTCGGAGCCAGGGGCGTGGGGAGGGGGGAAGGGGCACCAGGAGGGGGAATCGACGCGGGGAGGGGGACCGGGAGGGGACGGGGGGGGGGGTAAGAGGCGCGGGGAGGACGAAGGGGCGGAGCCCGCCCGAGGGGTGTGTGGGGGGGCGATGGGGAAGTGGGGCCCGGGGAGAGGTGGGCGGACAGACTGCGCAGCAGATGGCTGCTGGAGGGGGCGGGGTCCGGGCGGGGTGGGGAGGGGAGGGGAGGGGCGGAGGGTGGGGTGGCGGGAGGAGGGGGGTGGGGGCTGGCCGGTTCGAGGTCAGGGGCTCCACCGAGCCAATCAATTCCCGGAGCAGCTCAGGGGCCAAGACTGCAGTGTAAATACAGACTCCCTGCGCCCGGGCTGGCCCCAGTGCGCCGTAGGAAAGACGGCTTTCTTTGCCTAGGAAAGAGCAGGCTTTGGTAGCGTGGTAGGAAAACCACGCTGTCCGGCCCCGGGACCGGGGAGGAGGTGTGGGGGTGTTACCCGGGAGCGCTGAGCGCCGGCTGCCTCCGCGCCGGACCCAGCGACCAAGTCCACTGCCACTGGGAAGGGGCGCGCGGGGGAGGACGGCGCGGAAGCGAGGGCCGGCCACGGGCACCGAGCTCAGCTCGGCTAATTAACCGAAAGGCAGGGGAGGGACGCCGGCCACACCGTGCAGAACGGGGCCCCGGTGGGGCTTCGAAGAAAATGGGATTTGCTCCGGAGATTCGCCCGTGGAGTCGAGGATTTCACATAAAGCGCCAAAGGTGTTTTATTGAAATGAGATGCTGGAGCGGAAGAGGCCGGAATGGACATGGAATTGGCTCCTGTAACCAACCAGAGAGGAAACAAGCACCTTTGGGCGGGGTGGGGTGGGGTGGGGACCGAGGTACACAGAGTCCTCCTCGATCTGGCCTGGAACTCATGATCTTCCTGCTTCAGCCTCAATGCTGGGATTCCAGGAGTGATCCACTAACTACCCCTTCCACTTTGTACGATCCCCCGTTACCTTGCCTTAGGATGTTTCCAATATAATAATCTGGATATGGCTTTATCCTGAAAAAGAACCGTTTATTTAAGAGAGTTCAAAAACACTTTTCGTACAATGTTAGCACTTGAAATTTAGGGATCATTCCACAAAATCCCGAGGACCTACTGTGTGGTGCTATAAGGCTTGTTTTTCTTGTAGTGAACAAAAAGCTACATTTAGTAGGTCATTTAGTAGTTAAGATAAACTTCATCATTCGATTTCATTGCTTTACCAGATTAAAAAAAAAAGGGTCAGGGAAATCTTCCCACTTCTCAGGTGGTAGAACCAGGAATGGATCATTCCAACTCCTTCTACCACTACCCTTCATCGACCCTTCCTTCCCTTTACAGCAGAGATTCAAAGTAGCAGGTCTGTCATTCACTCCTGAAACATACTTCTAGTAAGTCAATTCTGGAGGAGGGCTTGGAGTTCCTTCACCTTAAACCAGGAATGAGGGTCAACAATGTCCGTTTTCTTCTGCAGATTCCATCTTATATTAATATTTCCCAAAATATTAGGAAGGTGCTGGTGACTCACTAGTGGTTCTAAACCTAGCTATTCAGGAGGCTGAGAGCTGAGGATCATGGCTTGAGCCCAGGCCAGGCAGCAAAATCCTTGAGACCCAGGCTGGGAAGGTGGCTCAGTGGTAGAGCACTTGCCTTGCATGCCTGAGGCCCTGGGTTCGATTCCTCAGCACCACATAGGCAAAAAGAAAAAAGCCAGAAGTGGTGCTGTGGCTCAAGTGGTAAAGCACTAGCCTTGAGCTGAAGAGCTGATAGACAGTGCCCAGGCCCAGAGGTCAGACCCCATGACCGGATCTTAAAAAAAAAAAATCCTTGAGACTCTTATCTCCAATGATCCAGCAAAAAACCAGAAATGGAGATGTGTTTCAAGTGGTAGAGCACCATCCTTAGCAAGATAAGGACAGAGCCCAAGCCCTGATTTCTAGCCCCTTTACTGGCACCAGACCAAAAACAAAGTCGTAAGATGTGAAAAAAGAGAGTGAAGGACAAGATTTACTGTGTACTTTTTGTGTGTGTGGTGGGGCTTGAACTCTGGGCCTGGGCGTTGTTCCTGCCCTCTTCAGCTCAAGGCAAGTGCTCTACCACTTGAGCCACAGTGCCACTTCTGGTTTTCTAGTGATTTATTGGAGATAAGAGTCTCAGGGATGTTCCTGCCCAGGCTGGCTTTGAGCCTTGATCCTCAGATCTCAGCCTCCCGAATAGCTAGGATTACAGGCTTGAGCCACCTGCGCCCAGCTTTTTTACTGTGTACTTTTGAAAAATTGTCAGTCAGTGGGGCTTGAACTCTGGGCCTGAGCGCTGTCCCTCAGCTCTTCAGCTCAAGGCTAGCACTCTACCAGGTGAGCCACAGCTCCACTTCTGGCTTTTTCTGCTTATGTGGTGCTGAGGAATCGAACCCAGGGGCTCATGTGTACTTTTTTTTAAAAAGCAATACAAAAATGAGGATTACTTCCTTGATTTCAAATTAAATATGACTTTTTAAAATCTGAAAGCACCTAGTGTTTTTGTTTTGTCTTGTTATCTTGGGTAGAATTTATTAGATCAAGACAGAGTGGTCCGGTGCCAGTGGCTTAGGCCTGTAATCTTAGCTATTCACGTGTTTGAGATCTGAGGATAGCAGTTCAAAGACAGCCTGGGCAGGGCAGGAAAGCTATGAAACTAATCTCCAATAAAACACCAGAAAACTGGAAGTCGTGTTGTGGCTCAAGTGGTAGAGCGCTCACCTTGAGCTGAAGATCTGAGGCATAGTGCTCAAGCCCCATGACTGACCAAAAAAAAACCCCATGAATGGC